ACCAGGAAAGGTCACTCATTCTAGAGCTTCTGGAACTTGATTCAAATATCAAGGAAGGCAGGCAGGAAGTCTTCCATGTTACTTCGATGAGGGTATCTGCACCATTTCTTAGCTTCCTGAGGTCTCTCCAGGTGGCAAGAGAAGACAAGTCCAAGGGCCAGACTAAAGCCTAGACCAGGTTTTAGGCTGCTTCAGAGGACACTGTTGTGTCTTTTAATTAATGCAGGTTCTTGCTTGTTTTGTTCCCACAAAATTTAAAAAGAAGTTTCTCCTTTCATTTTTCTCAAAATATAAGCTTTTGAATTTTACTGCTCTTTATTTTCATCTTTTCACTTAAATAAATTCTCACTAACAATGTGACCTTGGGTGTGTCATTGAGCCTCTCTTTGTCGATGTCTTTGCCCATGATTTAGGAATTCATTCATCTTACCTCACTGAGTGTTGAGAGGAGGAAGTGAGTTCGTAACTGAGGGTGCCTGCACAGGGTGGCAGTTATGTCTGTTTTTATAGAGATTTTTAGTCCCTAGGATAAAGTTTGGGGTCTACATGTGGACTGAGCATAGGATTGGTGTCAAAGGACTTCTAGATGGGACTGCCCTGCAGTGTGTGGGATCCTGGCAGAGTCACAGAGCCCCTTAGTGTCCGTGGTCCCCTCTGAGCAAGGCCCCTGGGTAACTCACAGAGAGAGCAAGTGTGACTGAGGAGCCATGAGCCACAAGACCCATGCAGGAGAGGCTGCTGTTCATGACACTCAGGCATCCACATCTACAGGCTGGTGCTATCCAGGAAGGCAGGCAGGCCTCCCTCTCCAGAGAGCCTTCTACTCCAGGTCACCCCAGTGGCTGCCCAGTGACCAATGCCTAAGAATACCACCTGAGGGTTGTTGCTTTTAAGTCACTAACAGCTATTTCAAGTAGGCCTGGCAGTGTGTTTGCTCCAACATGCTGTAGTGATCCATGACCCTTTCCGCTTCGCCCTGCTGTCCTTAGTGAGGCACTGACCCATCAGCTGCCCTGCAGGGTAGCTGTGGACCATCATGTGGCCCATGTGCTGAGATCCTGGATTTCAGGTACATCACCCCTGACCTGGCCAGGCAGGAGGGTGGCGGTGGGGGCCAGGGGCTCAAGCTCCACGTGAGTGTGAGAGAAGGTGACAAAGCTAGCAGTCAGAGAACAATCTGACCACCTGACCAGAAAAGTACACCAGCTAGAGAAAGGGTCCAAATGGCTGCAAACCAGTCACAAAGGTAGATTATAGGAGCTGCAAAATTCCCTGCAGAAATGCTCACAGAAGATAATCAGGAAATGGCGTTAATTTGTTTCACTGTGATGATGTTTTGTTATGTTACAGGTAAAACTTATCTTTAGAGACACATATTGTTTCAATGAGTGAAATGATGTTGTGTTTGGATTTGCTTAAAAAAGCAAAAGGGTTTTATCATACCATTATTTATGCCTTATAATCTTACACAAAAAACGTTGAATAGAGACTCTCCAAAGGCATAGAGACTCACACCTTTAACCCTTGTGGTTGGTGGTGGTGGACACATTCTTACTAGATAATAAATGAGTTCCCAAAAATATGACTTTCAAGAAGAAAAGACTTAGGACACATTACTGTCTCTTATAATCAATTTATTATGACAGCTAAATTTAATGTAAATGGGTATGTATGTATGTTTTAGAAATTTGCATTACACTTGTGTTTAGTGTACATTTGTTTGGTTGAGTATTAGCTTTTTTAGTTCCTATATTCAGAATTGTTTTGGTCTTAAGTCAGAAATGACCATTTGTTATGACACCTTTATTTTAAAAAAACACTTTTAAGTCTTTGAAGGGAAATTGTCCATATAAAATATTTTTGTGCTATTAGTAGGTTTAGTATATACTAATAGATTGCTCTTCAAACTATTAAGACTGAAGCTAGATGTGGTCGGACACAGTTGTAATGCCAGCCCTTTGAGAGGCTGAAGCAGGAAAATTCGAAGTTCCAGGCAAGCCTGAACAACTTAGAAAGATCCTGTCTCCAAAAAAACTGGGCTTGGGTGGAAATGTAGCTCATTAGCAAGGCCCTAGGTTCCATCCCAGTATAGCAAGAAATAAGTAAATAAATAAGTAAAATATTAAGAGTGAAACAGTGACTTGATGACACTGGTCTTTGATTTTTGTTTTTTATTAACATTAAAAGAAACAGACAATGAAGGAGTTGAAAACTATTTTCTAATTATCATCTTCATAGCCATTCAAAAATCTTTTTTTCTAAAACTGAACATGTTTGTGATTTAAGCAATATACAAAAAATTCTAAAAAAAAAATAAGGTCGAACAGGTTTATTAATTGAACATTCATATCTCTACATTCTTTGTATTTTAATATTTACATGCAAATAAAATTTAAAAGTCCAAAAGAGTAGCAAGAGGGAGACTAAGACTATAAATGGAATGTACTTAGTGAAGGTGCATTTCGGATAGATTGGAACCCACTTTACTATTGACTTGACTTTGTTCATGTTTTAAATTTATGGTGCTTGATTTTTCTCTCCACCCAGGATCCAAAAGGCTCAGCACTGCACAGAGGCGTGTGTCTCACTGCCAAGTGGCACCCTGCACTGCTCCCTCCTACCACTCAACAGGTCTCTCGCCATCATTGGCCAGGCACTGCTCCAGACTGGGCTCTCCCTCAATCTCCCAGCCCCATCCAGTCTGGATCCTTTCCATAGCTTCTTCCTCTCTTCTCAGTCAGCTCTTCCTTTCCTACTCTGTCCAACACCATGCTGCCCTGCACCCCTGCTATCTTTGCCTTGTCCCTGCACTTTTGTCCTGTGAGCCCTGAAAGTCTCTGGGCAGTGCTTGAAGTTGAGAGAAGACCTTCTGGGCAGAGAACTGGTCAGCACAAGTGGCTCTGTCCATTGGACCAGGTGGCTTTGTCCACTAGGCTTTCTGGAAAGCAGCAGTATTTGGGGAAAATTTCAGGACACCAAGAGGAGGAGAGGGTGTAAGGAGCTGCAGAAGGAACCATAGTTCTAGGTCTGTCCAGGGAAAGGCCAGGCAGGTAAAGAACAAGGCTGAGCCAGTTGGGAAAAGTGGGTGGTCTGTAGGGATTGTCTTTGAGGTAGGAGCCTCAGGATCTGATGAAAGACTATGAGCAGAAAAAGCAATGCCAGGGGGAGCAATTGTGGATGTTTGCTAGGCTCCCTCCCAGACAGGCCTTCTCTCCCAGCCCTACCTAAAATACTCTTCACCTCCAGACCACTTTGCCAGTCTCTATTTCCTTACTCTCCTTCATTTCTCCTCATACAACCAATCATTCTCTAAAATTAAATACTGCTGACTTGTGTCAATGACTTTGGTCTACAAGTGTGACATTCTTTTGTTATCTTGTTTCTAGCATCTGGGATATTGCTTGGCACACAGTAGGTAGATCTTGGAAAAACAAAACAGTTAAATATAAGCATCAATGGTACCACCATTATTCAGAGAGCTGTTCCGCTCTCACCTATGGTTGAACAATGACAGAGTCTATGATACCTTTAAGGGATAAATCAGTCACTTTCTGGTGTAGCAGAGTATCACAGGGCTTCATTTCTCTCTGCAAAGAGTTCAGCAGCTTTGGGTTTGAAATGGCATGACAAAGGTCATCTCCTCAGAGGTCATGGAGTGTGCAGCTGGGAAGGGAAGCTGTCTAGCTCCTTGGGCAAGGGACTTTTATCCAGTGAGGTGAATAGGAAGAGTGCATTGGTCAGGTGAAATTGGGCTCCTCACTCAGGGAAAAAAAAGGCCCTCAGAAGGTTTCCAGAATTAGATGTTTATTTCACTTCCTTGTAACAGGAGCAGGAGTAAGTTTTCGTCATTCAGTAGATGCTCTAAGGCCTGAAAGTGGCCATCTCCCTCTACCATCTAAAGGTGAGCTGACCTACAGATATTCTGGGTTACAAGTAGCATGGGTCTTTGCAGGTCAGAGAGAAACTTTGGCTGTGGTTGCCAAGGCATGGTCCAAATACAATGTACTGTTCTTTTTCACATATCAGTAAGGGAATGCTTTCCTCCTAAGCATCTCCATATAAAAAAAGGAATTAAGTTCCACTTTCTAGGTATCTGGAATCTGACAAGAAGCCTGAGAGAAAACTGAAGTGTTCATAATTTCACAGATTGCTTAGAAACTCAAACATCCACATGATTATATTTTTACACTGAAACCAGGCATTTGGTATGATGTGGACTAATAGTTCATAATATACTATACTTATGTGTGTGCATAGAGACACATAGTTTTTTAGTTATTCATGTTATATTCTTGTAGATAGAGTATCTTGTATTTTTACACCAACTGTAGGTTTTTGTAGATAAGTTCTCTGTATCTCCAGGATAGTCCGGGTCTTTTTGTTTATTGTTGTATGTGGGTGTCACATCCCGAATCTGTGCACTGAGTAGATGCTTGAGTGTTACATGCATAAAATATACCTTGTTCTTAATAAGTGCCTGAGGGAGAGCTGTCATAACAAGTCTTCACACTGCTAGTAAAGTAGCTATGTGACTTAACACAAGTCTCCTTTTGGGCATGACTTTTTTTTTTTTTTTTTTTTTTTTTTTTGTCTTTTTCGGTACCAGGGATCGAACTCACAACTAACTGCCTGCTTGCAAGGCAGGCACTTATGCCGCTGAGCTAAATCCCCAGCCCTTGGGCATGACTTTTAACTTTGATTTGAAGAGGATGGTTAGGGAGTTATAAAGTTTTCTTTTAAAGCAAAGGATTTGAGTAAGTTTCATAACATAAGCATTATATTGCTTTTCCTCATTAGGGATAGCATGACATGTGTCATCGGCATATCTGGGGCATGTATTTATACACTGATTCATGTCCAGGTGGAAAAGAATGTCAAGCATCTCGATAGAAGAATATGTCTGTGTTAAAGTTTGTTTTTGTTTTACTTGTTACCTTTTAAGGAATTTAGTCCAGTAAGATATTTCATGCTCAGCCAAATGTTCATAACTTTTAGACAGATACTTAGAGAGGACTTTATTTGATACCTTTATTTATATGCAAAACAGCGTACCATTCATGAGATATGAAAAACTTGTTAGGTAGAAACCAGGTTATATCTATTTTCACTACAAAATATTGCATTATATAAAGCAACAGAGACACAAAAAAACCCTGAAAAAGACTAAAATCTTTGGATAGGAGATGTGATTTCTCTCTCTCTCTCTCTCTTTTTTTTTTTTTTCTTCTCTCTAAAATACACTCCTTGCTTTAAGAGTTTCATAGCTGAGAACATGAAGCGTTTTCAGGTTATAGACTTTTCTTTTTGGTTGTCACAGAGGAAAGTAGTTCTGAATTCTTTTTTTAGGAAAATAACTTAATTTTCTAAAATCATCTCACGTACAAACATCACACACACACAAAGAAGCTACTCTCCTTATAAACAATTTGTAAAGTACTTTTCAGACATAACTACAGATAAGAATAACAACACTTTCTTTTATAAAACTATAATAGTGAAGTGCTAGTGTTGCTGATCTCACAACAAAAGAACCTTTCAAGAACAAACATCTTAATATATAAAATATGTTTAGAAATGGAGAAGTGGGGAATTTCTTATACAAGTGCAATATAATTAGAGCAAAAAGAAAGACCACAGTATAATCTCAACAAACACATAAAAATTTATACGTGATTATTCCACAGGAAAAGGTGTAAACACTTGACTATAAATAAATTGGCACAGAGTATCTAAAGTAAAATTATCACCACTCTGAAAAATAAATGTCTTGAAAAAAATACTCTACTCCTTCTAACGTAAATAAAAATAGGTCGTCTTCTTCTAACTGCACCTATGGATCCACATGTTTAAGGTCACAAATAGATGTTTTTGGATATATAAAGGGGCACTTCACCTGAAAGAGCGATCAGATATTAAATTTTCCACTTAAATACATTTCTTTCTGTCTAGGTCAGTGTCCTATCTTGGGGTTAAAATCTGACCCCTCTCCAGTCTTCCCAGTGTGTCCAGTCTCAGCGTGTCTTTAAAACCTTACCAAATATTCAGGGTGTGTTTTGTTTGGTGTTTAATATATAATCTCTTTTTTTTTTTGACAAAGAAACAGAAAGTTTCCTTTCTGCCATTCTGTGCCTTAATCTCTGGAAGAGAGTTGTTCTCCCCCTTCCCAGTGTTCAGTGATCTGTCAATTAGAAAATTCCAGATAGTCTGAAGTTATGAGTCTGTACTCTGAAGCTTCTGCCCTCATCCTTTTAAAAATGAAGATTTGTGGGAGATAAAGATTGGAGAACTCAGTCTCCAGTGGGTTAAAGCAACAACCCTTGCCGGGATACTATTACACCCAGGGGTCACCCCAGGTCTGCTCTCCATGAATGCCCCCATCTGGCCTGGACAACACCCCTCCTTGAGCCCCCGGGCTCCCAGCCAGCCCCATCTCCGGGCCTCCTCCGAAACCTTTGCCTGTGGCCCCGCTGACCAGAGAGAACAGGCTGCGAGCTCTGTCCTGATCGCAGGGTCCCCCGGCTGCCGTCCCGCTGGCCGCCGCCGCCTCGGCCACCTCCGAGGCCGCTGCCCAGACACCGGCCCGGCGCCCCGCCCCGCCCCGCCTACACGTCCAGGACGTGGTTGAGATAGGAGATGTAGCAGATGGCCAGGCGCAGGATCTCGATCTTGGAGAGCTTCTTGTCGGGGGGCAGCGTGGGCAGCAGTTTGCGGAGCTCGGCGAAGGCCAGGTTGAAGGCCTCCACTCGGATGCGCTCGCGGGTGGCGTGGGCCGAGCGGTACTTGGCGGTGGCGCGCCGGCGGCGCCGCTTCTCCTCGCGGCTCAGCTGCTGCGGGTGCGGGTAGAGCGCGGCGCGGCTGCCGCCTTTGCCGTCGCCCTCGGCTTCCTCCACTGGCTCCAGGTCCGACACGCTGCCCAGAACCTTGGCGTCCGCGCCGCCCAGCGACTCCGGGTCCGAGTGCGCCGAGCTGGGGTGGTCTGAGTCCGCGGCTTGGTCCGGACTCAGCATCATTTTGGAGGCTGAGAGGGAATCAGAAAGTCAGTCACTAAAAAGCATAAGGGTCTTCTTTTCCTGCGAGGCTGCTAGGCGAGGGCCTCCCGCGCGGCTCCCAGTCCCAGGAGTGCGCCCGGCGCCCTCTCCCAGCCCGGCCCAGCCCGGCCCAGCCCAGCGCGCCTCGAGGTAGAGCGCCAAGCCCGGGGCTCCCTACGGCCCAGGAGCTGGGAGGTCGCCTAAGCCTCAGCCTGCAAGGGAACCAGACTGGCCGGTGTCCCTGGGTCTGGGACACCATCTTAGGCCTGCTGATGTTTGTGCTTCGTCTAACCAAGCATCAAGTACGCTATTCTGCTTCCCTCCTTTGATCCCTTTCCTAGACAGATGAATGAATCCAAGGGATGAATGCAGCAGAGTTCTACTGGCTCAGGGAGATTCCGTGTGTGTTTCCGGGCCCAGGGCCTGGGGCAGAGCAGTTGGGGAATCCGGGTGCCCAAGGGCCTGGGGCTGCGCTGGGGCTTCCCTGTGCTGGGGTGCAGACAGACTGGCCCATCCTGGGGCGAAGGCGGCCAGGCGCGGAAGGCTTCCTTGTCCCCCTCACTGTTCTCCGAAATAATGACTGAACAAACGTGCATACTCTTTTCAAAAGAAAATTGACTCCTGTGCCCTCGCACGCTCCCGGAGCACCATCTGTCACGCACAGAGCCACACGCCTTGGGGACCTAGGGACGCGGAAACGTGGAATACACAATGCCCCGCAGCCTGCCCACCGCTCACAAGATATTGCTGGCGGCTGGGTCGCCGCGGGAGTAGAGGGAAGAGAAGGCAGAGGAGCGGGAGCCTTGCAGGAGGCCCAGACGCAAGCTGCGGGCCCCCCAGCAAAGTTTGGGCGCTCCCAGGTCCCGGGCTCTCCAGTGCGCACCTTGTCCCTGGGAGGCCTCGCCAAGGCCAGCTCTATGCCTAGCTTTCTTCTGGCCGTTCCCTCCTGGAAAGGCCGCACCGCAGCCTCTTCCCTGTCCGCTATTGCGCGCCTTCTGGGAGGGCGCCTCTGGGACCGCCGGGCTTCACGAAAGGAGCCAGGAGGAGACCACAGGCACCGACCGGGCTGCAATCCCCGGGGGGGACCACCGGGGTGCGAACCCTTGGCCCTGGCGGGTCTCTCTCTAGCGACGCCCGGCAAGGGAGAAACCCATGTAGATTTGTTTTGTAGATGGGTTTGTTTCTAGAGAAACAAAAGCCAGGGACGAGTGCGATCAGGTCCCAAGCATCGCTTCTGAGCAAATTGGGCTGCAAAACAGCTCTTCGTTCGTGCAAGGAAAATAGATCCTCTAAGGCGAAATAAAAACAAACGCTTCAGGTAAACTACATGTGACTCCCTGTGGGCTTTCTCTGGTACGCTTAAAAGTAAACCAACTTGCAACCGGCTTGAAAGGGAAGAGTTACACAGAAGAGGAATGGAAAATCACAAAAAGCCATGACACAGTTACAGTTCGCACAAAACTTCCTGGGTTCCCCTCCAAGCATGCTAAATTCTCTTCCAGATGTCTTTAAAAATATTCATAAATAGCGTGTTATATATGTGTATTATTTCTTTAACTATAGGCTGAAATGAATCTATAAATGTAACATGAATGAACTTAGTTTCAAGCTGAACAAATGATTTAAAGGAATCTTACCTTGCAAAAACCCTTTCGATAATCTTTTCTCCAATCTTTTAGAGTTAAAATTCCAGGGAATAGCGAGGGAGAAATCCCGGAAAAATATTAAAAGCAGCAATTGTTTATTACATTCAAAAATGAAAAAGCAGCTGTCATCTCGCCGGTGCCCACAGAGAGGGACGGTATCTCAGGATGAGGATGCTGTGAGTGATTGTTCACTTAGCTGGTAGATCAAAAACGCCTTTTCCTTTTAATTGTTCTCAGACATTTCGCAAAATTCGTTTTTTTAAAAAAACGATGTGTTGAAAAGTCTCCTGCTTTTCCCCCTCCTATGGCTCTATAAATAACAAAAGAGATGCAGAGATAAACACAATCACATCAAAGAGCTGATTCCTCCACTTTCTAATAGCGGAATAATCAATAAGAAAGATGGTTAAGATAAGATTCAGCTCCTGGAGGACTCCTTTCCTCCCTTATTAGGGCTGAACAGAAACTGAGAAGTGCAGGACAGAGAGATGTGATCTTGCTCAGAAGTGATTTTTTTTTTTTTCTTCTGAGATAAGGCTTTGTTCCGCTGATGTCTCCCCAGCTCCCAGGAACACAATACTGTAACTCGGAGCTAAGGTTGCTGCTTCTTGGTCCCTCATTTATGTATGTTTTATAAACAGGCACCTGTTTTCCAGCTTCAAAGGTCTGATCACACCTCCCACCCCTTCCCTCTCTCTTTACCTTGTAGCAAAATATATACAGTCAGTGGCTTGGAGATGCTTGGAGAAAGGTTGGTGAAAAGTGCACGTCTCCTGGAGTAACAGTGACAGGGAAGCAGAGAAAGACTGGAAGAGGGTCGGGAGCCAGAGCATAGATGCAGAGCTGTGTGTGTGACTTCTTGGCTCTCCTGGTACCAATTGATTCAGCCTGGAGATGGTGGAAGAGATAAAGGCTTAAGAAGGGGGATGGAATTTTTTCCTTCTAAATTGATATTTAATGGGAAATCCTATTGGACAGAAACCTGGACATGAGTCACTTAATTGGACTTGACATCTGTCACAGTGTGGGAGTTTTCACAGCCCAAATATTTTAGTAGATCAGATTCCCACTGAATCTGTGCCATAAAATATAATAGTTGAAAGCAGTCCCTGATAGAAATCATAGCTTTTAAACAGTCTGTAGCCATAATCAGGCTATTGCTTGTTTTCAGCTTATTGATGCAATATTTAAATGCAAATAAACAAGATACTGTCTATGGAAAAAATTCTCTAGTGTATTACAAAATCAGCATCTTTCCTTAATATTTAGGAAAATATTTGTGTCCAGCATGTGAAAATATATATTGGACAGATGCTACAATATAAAGTATTTAGATATGCAACATTCTTAGCGATCATTTACATTTTAAAATATACTTCACCAAGATTGATTGATCATGCTGATATTTTTGAGAAATATTCTGCCCTGAGTCTAACATCAATAGATCATTTTTAAAAAGACACCTTTCAAAAGAATAATTAAAGTCATTAGTGGAACCAGGAACAGAACCCAGGTATTCAGGGACCATTAAATGAAACAGTTTTACTTTTCTGATTATGTTTGTTTTTCTCTTCATGATTCATTCATTCAACTTAAAATCTGACAGACTACATGTGTTAATTACTGTACTTCACTCTTGCCCATCTTAACATGTGAATACATGAGGTTATGTGACAGAGCACTGGCCTAAGATGTTACACACTTAACACACACAAATCTCCAGTGTATTCTGGCACATAAGATTAGGAACAGCCCCCTGAATTTATATGTTTTGTAACATAAAGCAAACTTGAATTTGTTTATTTTGCCACTTAATAGAAATACTATTGGTTACCATCAATTACATAGTATCTGCTGTCAATTACATATCATCAATTATACCACCACTTGTTATTTGTGATCGTATTAGCTTTTTTCATTGATCAAGCATAAGTAAAATAAGACTTCGGCAACCTTATTCCCCACCTTTCCAACCCCTCAAAGAACACCTACAGATGAGTTTTGCCTTTCATTGCTTTATCAGATTGTGAACATCTTAGCTTTATTCATTGGTCAACCTTAAATGAAATAAATATTGTAGCCTTACTCTCCACCTTTCCTATTCCTAAAAATACCTTTATAGAAAAGTTTTCACTTTCCCTGCTTTATGAATTTTGTCCACCCTGAGACTGGCCCTCTATGATCCTCATGGCTGCTAAAAGCACTAGCGTTGCACACAATTTTCCTCCTCCAGGAGATTTGTAGACCAGCTGGGGCAGAGGGGAGAGAGGGGAGAGAGTGCCTCCAAGGAATAAGAGTACCAAAATTGCTTAGCCTCACCCCTATAGTGCCCAACATGAAAAGATATTTTAGATATCCCAGGACAGTTAAGTGGAGGTAGAAGCCATACTTACACTGGTGGCAGTTGGAACGGGGGAGAAGATAAACTCCCTAAGGTGGGGAAGATGAAAGGAGAAGGGAGGTTTCCTGGTGTGCCTAGGAGCAGCCAGCAGGCAGCATTTACACTTGACCGGAAATGTGCACACGGATGCACACCCACAGACACCTGCACCTCCTTCCCCTTCAGTTCTCGCAGAAGCTGGCTGGCTCTAGCAAACTGCTACACATGCAGACTGACGGACTGAAAGCCTGGGTAGATGTCATCATCTTAACTCTAGAGGGGCAGTTATGACAGGAAGGAACCAGTGATGGGGAATAGGCATATTGGGGCCAGTCCAATTTTGCTACGGTGTCTGTGAATCCAGGCAAACTATGTTTTCTGTCAGACTTACACAATCCATACCGACTGTTGACATGTTCTGTGAGTACGTCTGTATTGGTACTTGTTTAGAAGCATACACAGCCATGCCTAGACACACCATCCTAGGCACAAACCTGGATTCACGCACATGTTCTTTCTTCCAGAAGAGCTTCCCTTTCTCCTGCCACCCTTGCCTTTTCCAAGACCTCCCTAGCACAGATGCCCCTCTATAAGCAGCCCTCTCTCATCTGCCTTCAAGACAATACTGTCATCTGTGATTCTTGGTTTCCATATCTGTCTCTCTCATTAGGCTGTGGTATTTGTAGGATAAGTCTATAGCTTTTAGCCACAGTTCTGACATCTGAGTTTGACGTATAGGTACTCGGTTCATTTATGATGAGTGACTCTACATCAGAGGTAACCAGAATATTTGTAATAAAGAAATACTTCAACAAATGACAACCTTAGTTATATTTGGATGAGTTTTCTCTCCTATAAAAGTGATGATAATAACATTGACCTCTCATTGCAAGCTTAAAATACTAAGCATCATACAAAATAAGGTATCATGAAATATAGAAGTAATGTTAAATAATATTATTAAATCAATGCAGTGGTGATAAGCAGTAATTTAAAAAGCTAGTTTTCCTGGCTCTCTCACTTGCTGTCTCTATGAACTTAGAATTGCTATATTACTTAGCTTTTTTGGACCTCAATTTTATTTTCTTTTCTTTTTCTTTTTTTTTCTTTTTTTTTTTTTTTTGTCTTTTTCGTTTTTATCGAAAAAGCGCTTGCAAGGCAGGAGCTTATGCCACTGAGCTAAATCCCCAGCCCCTTGGACCTCAATTTTCTAATCTGTAAAATGAGAATAATGAAAGTATGGTATACTAAATGATTTACCAAAAATGAATGAAGACTAATATATATATACATACATATATATATATATATATGATGTAATACATATATATATATATATATAAGGGTGGCATGATGTAATACATATAACAAATGCCTAGAATTTATAAATATTGACTACAAATATTATTATTCAATATAAATGATACTGAGAAGCTGATATGTACTTACAAAGATGTATAAACATATCCAAATATGCCTATCAACCCACCTAGATTTTGTGTGTGGGTATCCAACAGTGTTGGTAACTATCCTACAGTGAGCACTGTACATGTACTAGACAATAAGTGTGGGGGCTTTTCACCTATGAATTCATTTACTCTTTATCAAAAACCTACAGAGGTAGGTTCTGCTGTTGACCCTATTTTGCATATGAGAAAATTGGGGCATGGAAAAGATGGTATTTGATTGAAAGTGGCAAAGCTAATAAATCACAAGGCCAAGATTTAATCAATCTTTCTTTCTTTCTTTCTTTCTTTCTTTCTTTCTTTCTTTCTTTCTTTCTTTTTATTTTTTTTTCCTTTGGTACCAGGGATAGAACTCACTACCTAGTGCTTGCCAGACAGGTGCTTATGCTGCTGAGCCAAATCCCTAGCTAAGATTTAGTCTTAGATGATCTAAATTCTGAAACTGTACGCTCAACCACTATGCTCTGCTTCTATGATCATTGTGGTTTATGCAATTATATTCATGCAGAAGAATTATTTGCCAAGCAGTAATTTGGAGGGAAAAATGTATACACACACAAAACATAGATAACTTTCTTGTGTTCAGGGGTAATCAGTGAGTTTTAAATAGTTACTATGCATCTAATAGTGCGCCAGACTGTTGGACTGTTAAGTCTTTATAATTATAGATAGTTCCCTTAGGCAGTTATTTCCAATCTATTTTCTTAAATTTTCCACCCCATCAGTGCAAGGTCTGAGTATTCATATCCTGTAGATGTATATTAGCTATTAATAAACTTTATGCGTGTACTACTATGCTTACCTATTATATAATTATAAACACAGCTATTTTAAAGTGATGATAAGCACAAAACTACTATTTATAAAATAATTAATTTTCTTTATTAATAGGATAACAATTTATTACCAGCACGGGACATTATTGGTAATGTATATTTTTTGACCATACATATCATTTTGTTAGTTATGGTTTAATTCATTGTAATAATGTGATTTGATGGTCTGGTTTTAAGTCCAGTTTATTTAGAATGTGATTTTTATGGCTAAGATAGGAGAAAAAGAGCTATTACAAAAATTTAAATGCTATCACAAATGATATATCCTGAAATTGGATTTTGGTTATGTCATAACTCTTTAAACACACTTACAAAAACCTTATACTTTAACTATGTTGTATTATTATGTCTCAGTAAATCTGTTAGAAAAGTCCAGAAGATTAAGCATATCATATTTACATTACAACATATTTTTCTATGCTACTCTACATTGTTGCCTATTAACTATTTTCTTTTATTGTACTTGATTTTAAATGGTGGGGAGCTTTATATTTTGTTTCTTATTTGCTTGATTCTTTCCTTCTTTAGGTTTGCTTTCTTTAAACAAGTTGATTACTATTAGGATAACTCTGAAAACTATCTGTCCATGTAAACTGACGAGTGTAGAGTGCGAAGGCACACTGCAGTCTCTTAGTTCATTCTATACTGCTCTGTGGTCTACATTTTGTGCAGGCGGGTTAATCTACAGGTAGATAATCAATCCCAGTTTTTAAAAAGTCGCAGAAAAATTCCAATTTATTTTATATCAGCCAAAAGTTCAAAGGTCCCAATAGAAGTATATTATTGATTATGTTAACTACGTCATGGTTCTCATTTTTTCTTAGCTTACCTACCAAATATGCCAAGCTTTTGTTGAATTTGGCTAGCAAATTTCCTTCTATTATAACAATTTATTTTTCCACAAGCAGTTATAAAAATACTGAAACCTGATTTGGAAACTTTTTTTTAATACTGGAAATTGAATCCAGGTCTTCCCACTGTGCTGCAGTCCCAGATCTTTTTTATTTTTTAAATGTTGAGGTGAGTTCTCCCTAAATTGCTAAGTTGCCCAAGCTAAGCTTCACTTGTCATCCCCCTGCCTCAGCCACCCAAAGTGCTATACACCACCATGCTTGGTTGTTATCGTCACAGCCAGCTGACAAACTTCTGTTTTGTTTTAACAATTTAAAAATTTATGTTTCCAAGTGTTTTAAGTGTTCAGATATAGGAGATGTTAAT